TAGGAGGGGCTAGTGCTGTGGCATAGTGGGTTCAGTCAAATAGGCTCCAATTTGAGTCCCAGCTGCTGCTCATCTGATCCAGCTCCTTGCTAATGTGCCTGGGAAAGAAGCAGAGGATGGTCCAAGTCCTTGGGCCCCTGTACCCACGTGGGAGACCCAGAAGAAGCTCCTGGCTCCTGGCTGTGGTCTGGCCCAGCCCTGGCAGTTGCAGGTGTTTGAGGAGTGACCCAGCCGACCAAAGATTCTGTCTCTCCCTCCTCTCGCTCTGTAACTGCCTTTCAAATAAATAACATCTTAAAAAAAATAAAGGGGCTATAGGAATCCCACGTGTAGCCTCAGGGGAGCAGGCTTATCTATGGAGGAGTCATTCTAGCTCAGTCATCCTAGAACAGTAGACAGCCCACTCGGGAAGAAGTTAACATTGAAATCGGAGCTCCTGGGGGAACCAGACCCTATTGCTGTTACTCCCTTGGCCACCCTAGAGGCTCAGAACAATTTGTCTGATCAAGTCTATGAGAGAGAGAGAGAGATCACGTGAGAGCAAGTGCTGGCGCTTATATCTTCTGTAATAGATAATCAAGCCATCATAAAAGAGTGGGTGGGAGTGCAGAGTGGGTGGAGGGAGGGGCATCCGACAAACTCAATGCTGTAGTATTCCCTCTGGGGAAATAGAAACTTTGGCAGCGCCATGAGGCGGGGAACAACATTTTCCCTTTCTCCCTTTTCTTTTCCATTACACAGACCCCAGAGGGCCTCTGAACGGCTGGCTCTGCCCTCCTGGAAGGAAGTTAGCCCCATCCCTAGATGCTGGGTAGCAGTAAAATGCTCTGCATTTAGGAAGGAGGGGAAGGAGGCTGCCACGGCAGGGTGCTATATACTGACTTCACCACCAGGTGGCACCAAATCATAACTATAGCTCCAAAGAAATCAGGAAATGGACCTTGAGAGCCCTTGAACTATTTTCTTCTTCCTCCCTGTTCCTCACATAGAATTGAAGAATAAGAAGCCTTTCAGGTAGGGTGGATAACCCTCTTGATGAGAACGCTTGGGTCTTTAAGCTAAGAGCCATTTCCAGCTGAAGATTCCCAGGATGTAAATATGGCCTTCGTCCCTGCCTTGCCGCAGACGGATTTCTGAGCTTCAGATAAGGAAAAAAGGTGATTTTCCTGGAATTTTCCCAGAAGCCTCCACCCTCGCAAAGAGTTGTTTTTCTCCAAGGAGGTCAGCTGAAGAACAGCAGACGTGAGGCCTGGGAGGCGCTGCTCAAATTCTCGTTCCCCTTGGGCAGTATTGAGTGCTGTCTTGGGCATGTTGGGAATGAGCCTGTCTGAAAACGTTATGACGTGGCTGGCTAGCCTCATGGCCTCTTACGGTCACACAGGACTGCTGCCAGCACCTCAGGCGTGCTCTGCAGAATTCCTGTTCCTAGCTTCTCCACCTGGAATGCTGTCCCCTGGCAGCCATTTCTGTCTGTCAGCTCTGACCTATTTGGTGGAGCACAGATTTTTGATTTCCCCTGGCTGAAAGAGATCACCTCCTCTTTTCAATGACCATAACAACTTGTGCCATTTGCCCTGCCCCTCTACTTCCTACTATGGTTATTCATGAACACATCTCCCCTACAAAACTTTTGTGAGCACTTGGCATGGCGGGGGGAGGGGGGCAGGGGAAGAACCATGTCTTATTTATCTCTGTATATCCTATACTGATGAATACAGTAGGTGCTCAGTAAAGCACTGTAATCTTAGCACTTGCCGTCTACAAAGCACACACACATTTTTTAAAAAGATTTATTTTATTTATTTGAAAGGCAGCATGATAAAGAGGAGAGAAAGAGATCATCTTCTATCTGCAGTTTCACTCCCCCAAATGGCTGCAACGCCAGCCGGGACTGGGCCAGGTGGAAACCAGGAACCTAGAATTCCATGTGGATCTCCCACATAGGAGCTGGATCAAAAGTGGAGCAGGGGCTGGCACAGCTCTCTGCTATGGCCTGGGAAAGCAGTAGAAGATGACCCAAGCCCTTGGGCCCCTGCACCCATGTGGGAGACCTGGAAGAAGCTCCTGACTCCTGGCTTCGGATAGGCCCAGCTCTGGCCGGTGCGGCCAGCTGGGGAGTGAATCAGTGGATGGAAGACCTCTCTCTCCTCTCTGCCTCTCCTCTGTCTGTGTAACTCTGACTTTCAAATAAATAAAAAAAAATATTAAAAAAAAAATGTGGAGCAGCCGACACTTGAACTGGAAGCCAGTGGGTGCAGGTGGCGGCTTAGCCCACCGCACCCCAAAGCCAGCCCCACATTCACATACCTCTTGCTTATTTCATCCTGACCACAGTCCTGTGAGGTAGGTGTTATTGACCCTATTTTCCAGATGAGCAAACAGGCTCAGAAGACCAACAACTTGCCCAAGGTCTTCCAGCTAGGAAGAAACTGATTCTGATCTGAATGCAGGTTTCCTCACCCTCGATCTGGTTCTTGCAATTTTCTGTACCTAAGCTGTTATTGGCCTGACTGAAGCCATGGGGCTTATCCCGAGGACTGGGGAGAAGGGAAGAGAAGATCTAAAGGTCAAACCCCTCTCCTTTCATGTCCACTCCCTTCTGCCCCTACTCCCGGTTTCCAAAGAGGATTTCAGGCTGCAATCTTATTGTCTGAGAATGTCCTGGCGTGAGATGTCCTTGTGGATAAGAAGGGAAAATGTGGGGTGAAGACAGGACAGTTAGGTGTATTCCCAGCTGGTGACTAATGGCTCTCTCTCAGCCCAGAGGAGCTCTCTGGCCTGTCCAATAATTTAATTAATAATTTGGATGAGGGCACTGATGGCATGCAGATCAAATTTGTAAATGACATGAAGCTGTTTTCAGAAAGATCCCGAGAGGCCCTAATGAGCCAGGAAGATGAAACGTGAAGTTTCCTAGCTGAATGTGTGCAATCACAGGCGTACGTGCAAGGCAGGAGAGACGTGAATTCCTAACAATCTCTGTGAAGATTCTTCAGTGTTGAAGGGGACGATAAGCTCATTATTTTTGACACTAGCTGCCCTAAATGCTCACGTGTTCAGGTCTGGAACGAAGGGAGGGTTATGGTATTGCTTTCTTCTCTGCTCATTAGAGCACAGAGGACAATTGCCTGTAGGCTTGCATACATACCATACTGGGACAGGAGCAGCCTGGAGCCTGCACTGTGTGTGAACCTTGTTCCGTCTGCACAAAGGGGATCAACAGACTGATAGTGGTCGTTAGGATCTAGTTTCCAAATATTGGAGGGTTCCTAGTAATCACAAAGGATTCACTGGGCAGGTGTGGGTGTGGTACAGTGGGTTAAGCCATTGCTTGCATCGCCCCCATCCCATATCAGAGTGCTGGGCTCAAATCTCAGCTGCTCCGCTTCTGATCCAGCTCCCTACTAATGTGCCTGCAGAAAAGCAGAAGAAGATGGCCCGAGTGCTTGGGCCCCTGCCACTCATGTGGGAGACCTGGATGGAGTTCCTGGCTCCTGGCTCCAGTCTGGCCCAGACTTGGCTGTTGTGGCAGATGGAAGATATTTTTCTGTGTCTCTGTCTCTCTTTTTTTGTCACTCTTTCAAGTCAATAAATAAATAAATCTTAAAAAAAAAAACAAAAAAAAAAAACATTGCTTGGGACACCCACATCCCAAATCAGAATGCCTGTTCAAGTCCTGGCTATTCTGTTTCTAATCCTGCTTCCTGGGGCCTGCGCTCTGGCGTAGCAGATAAAGCCGCTGCCTGCAGTGCCGGCATCCCATATGGGCGCCAGTTTGAATTCCAGCTGCTCCACTTTCAATCCAGCTCTCTGCTATGGCTTGGGAAAGCAGTAGAAGATGGCCCAAGTCCTTGGGCCCCTGCACCCGTGTGGGAGACCCAGAAGAAGCTCCTGGCTCCAGACCAGTACAGCTCCAGCCGTTGTAGCCAATTGGGGAGTGAACCAGCGGATGGAAGACCTCTCTCTTTCTCTCTCTGCCTTTCCTCTCTCTGTGTAATTCTGACTTGCAAATAATAAAATAAATCTTTTAAAAAAATCCTGCTTCCTGCTAATGCACCCTGGGAAGGCAATGGATGATGGCTCAAGTGCTTGGACCCCCGCCACCCATGTGGAAGACCAGACTGGAGTTCCTGTTTGGCCTGGCCCAGTCCTGGCTGCTGTGGCCATCTGGGGAGTGAAGCAGGGGATGGAAGATCTCCCTTCCTTCCTCTCTCTCTCTCTCTGACCTTCAAGTAGATGAAAATAAGTAATATTTTAAACATTTTTAAAAAAGAAATAGAAGAGGGATTCACTTTGCTTTGTTGTGTAAGAAGGCAAAGGGTGGGTGTTATGCGAAAACGGATTTTGACTCAGTCTAAGGAAGAACTTTCTACGGGTCTGCGATGATCCAACCTGCGGTAGGCTGTTTTTCCAGGGGGAGAGTTTGACATCAGTGAAGGTATTTAAGCCGAAACAAGATAACTACTTGGCAAGGAGGTTGCAAAAGGGAACTAAGCATCACAGCCTAAGGGAAGGAATGAAGTGACCAGTCAGGCTGCTTCGGCGCTGTTATGTTGGGACTCAAGTTTCGGGGAGGACAGAGGTGGGAATAGTGGTAGCCCTTTGAGTAGGTACCTCTTAACTGGTTATGATCTCTGCCTCTAATCATTGCACTTTCATCCTGCCCCCTCCATCCGGGTTCCAGCAATATTTCTGTGAATGCTTTAGCACGAGGCCTTGTGGCTCAAGCCCTGCAGAATCTCAGTGAGCCTCGAGGTCATCTGGTTCTGTCTTTTATCAGATGCCTTCCTTGCCTTTGGTGAGCCCCCACCCGCATGCCTCTGACGAGGGCCAGACAGCTGCCTACTGTTTGCAGCAATCCATCCTGACTGCAGTGAGCACTACTCATCACGAGAAAGTTCTTCCTAGACACGGCTTTTATCGCAGTGTCGGGAGAGGACATTTTGTTCTGTCTTGGGAACTGCGGGTAGTACATGTTAAACAACTTCAAGAGGCTGGTGTCATGAGCTGAAACTTTTATTATAATTTTTCATTATAAAAAAAGAAAGGAAAAAAAAGCATCTTCCTTATGTTGAACCCACATCTTTCCTATCACTTCTATCCATCAGATCTTGGAACCCTTGGAGTCACACAGTATAAATCTACAGCTTTCTCTTCCCCATCAAACCAGTAATGATTCGCTGATGGTAAACACGTTTCTTCTGGAATTTTCCAGTTCTCTCGCTATTCTCATCCCTCTTCTCTGGATATGCTTTCTTGAAGTCTGGTGCCCCTAACTGAACAGAGGGCATCCTGTGTGGCCTGCCCAGTGCAGAGTAGCATAAGGTGATCACCTCCTTTATTCTGCACATTATACTCTTATTAATACAGCCCAGGGTCCCAATACCCGCAGTAGCAACCAAACCACACGTTTGACTCATGACTCAAGATTGAGTTTTCATTGACCCTAAAACCCTTCGAAGCCATATCTCTTACATCCCATACTGGTGCTGTTACATTTGGAATTCATTTAAGGGACTTTACCAGCTGTGTGTCCCTTGTCGATTTCCCCCAGTGACATTGAAACAGAAGCGTTTTGGTGTGGAGTCAACCAGTTAAGAGTCCATGTCGATATACACACAATTCTTCACATGGTCCCAAGAGTTTGGAGAGAGTGTTTTGTTGATCTCCAGGTACACGGTGGGTTCGGTGCTGCCCTTGTCTCTGCGAGCAGTCACCCCAGCAAAGGAAATAAAGCTGAGTGCGGAATGATTCGTTTCTCCCGGATCTCCGCAGGGGCTGAGTGATCTCGGCTTGCTTTCGGGAAGTGCTCACCAATCATCCTTCTCATCATTGGTCCCAGAATCTTTCCGTCAATCAATATCGAATGTATTGGTCTATAACTTGTAGAATTCACCTTTTCCCATTTGCAAAACGGCGGGGCCGCCTTTGCCCATGTCTGAGGCTGTAGCATGCATCCCTTCCTCTCTCTAGGGGATTTTCAAAGCCACCACCAGTTGTTCTGCAGTTGAAGCTACAAGTCTCCAGAGTGCCCTGGGCTGTTATTATTGACTCTGGTTAGGAGATTAAAATACTCAAAGCAGCTTAAGGTCCTTTTGGATAACACCGCTTCCAGGAGCTTCTCTCTGGTGTTCACACTTTGTCTTTTTTTTTTTTTTTAATTTGGGAAAGCCTCTTTGCAGAAGAGAAGGAACAAAAAAGAAGCTGGGAGGTTTTGTTTTCTAGCTATAAAACCATCAGCAAAAGAGTTTGGGCAGGGCAACCCATCACTCATCCAATAACACCCCAACTCTTCTGCTGTTAGGAAGGCCCTCATACCCCTGTCTTGCCCATCAGGTTTCCTTGAACTTGAACCCTCTACCTCGGCCAGGCTAGTCCCCTCACTGCTCTGCCCGAGATTTTCCTCCCAATTTGGAATGCCCACTACTGCACCCCACCCTCCAACCTCCCATTCGCCACAATCTCTGTGGTCTGTTCAACCTTTTACCATACAATTGAAGTCACAAACTAGATGATGCATTACATTCATCTTATCCTGGTTCAGTTTTGTGTTCCTGATCACACGTACCCCAAAGCGGGTGTCTTCTAACCCTCATAGTATATAAACTAGCACAGGGCCAGACCTGTGATCCTGTGACTATATTTCCTAGAGAGATTTCCACCCACCTCTGACCCTTCGCATACACCACAAATTTCAGTCCCAAGATAGCTGTCTGGCTCCCTTCAAGGACACAAAAATGGAAACCAGATCAATGTAGGGATGAGGACTAGACTCAATCAAAGTACAAATGACTTGCAATGTGAAATGAAATCCAAGTATATCCCCTTCAAACAAGGAGCTGGGCTTTTTTAGTTCAGCTAAGGGCTAGCAGTCGCAATGGGGCTGAGAACAGATTGAAATCCTGCCTGTCCTGGAGCTCGTCTCTTCCTCCTAGAACCTTCGGAGGTGTGGAGACCACCTGCAATCCTTCACTAGTGGGTGAGCCCTACTGGGGATAGGGCTGGGTTGAGTATTTAGAGAAGAGTCGGTGTCTAAATTTTCCCCAAATAGAGAGCCTCCAACACCCACCCACCTCCAACACACACACAATAGGAAGTCCAGTTGGGTCACATCTGAAATGGAGCAAGCAAAGGATGGCCCATCAGAACAAAGATTCTGAATGTGGCCTTAAAGGGAAGATGATGAATACCAGTGCTGTCCTTTGTATCCATCCTTCCCATTTAGTTATTGTTACTGACGGCATTTAGATGCTCACGTCACCTCCTACCCAAAGCAAAATCTTTCCTTGTGTCTCACTTAATCTCCTTCCCCCCTCAATTGTTCCCAGGAGAAATGGAGAGCACAGGTCATTTGCTCCGGCCTTATTTTGAGGAGTCACATTTTTTTTGAAGATGGCTATGGCACCTACTTGGCACATAGTAGGTGCTCCCTAAGCATTGTGCGATACCTCACCAACTTCCTCCTTGGTAAGTTAAAGAACAAACCAACAAATCAACCAACACAAACCAACACCTAGTCCTTTGGTGCATTGTTTTTTGCTCTTTTCCAGACCCCCTCCAGCTTTTCCACCCACTGGTAGACCCATTTATGCCTCAAAAAGCATAACCAGTTGGCAGGCCGCGTGCAGCAAGCTGAGTGGGATGCTGGGAAGGTCATACACTATTGAGTTGCATCCTAGGCCTGTTTCTAACCGCCACGGGCTTTTCTGAGCTCATTTCCCCAACTACAAAATCAGTGGGTTGGATGCAATGGACACTGGGGCTACTCCTAATGCTAACAACACGCACGCTCTGGTTACTTCCCAGCTCCTCCATGCTGTATTTGTGTTACTACGTACTAGTATTCACCTACGTTTTGCCAAGGAGGGAAGTGGGCAAGGAAGGAGGAAGGGAGGGAAGGAGGGAGAGAGGCAGGGAGAAAACCAGCTCTATACTAGGGACTCATTCAACTTGTCATCTTACCGCCCTGACACTCTCTTCTCAGCAGTCGTCCTTTCTCTTGTCAGTGTTACGTGTGTCAGAGTCTACCATGCCCATCGCTCTTGTCCCTGTACCGCGTTAGTACCTGAGTTCTGGGTTTTGGTCTTTGTACACACTGCCTCGTGCTCGGCCCCTCTGACCATCGTCCTGCTGGCGACTGTTCGTCTCCCTCATTTTGCCAGCGTCACCTGGAAGAATGCTAGTCCTGGCTTGTGAGGTACCAGCGACCCCAGCCAGCTGTCACGCTCCCGTGAGCAGCTTCCCAGGTTAGTCCTTGATGTCAGAAGTCAGTGACATCCCATAATGCTCACCCCGTGCAGCCTCCCTGGCTCTGCACCACACCTGTCCCCGCAGGGTCGCCCTGGCGGGGGGGGCATGGATCCCATCTCAGGACCGTAATGGCTGCCAGGGCCCCCCCACCCCGTGGCTTCTTCAATCAGAACGCCCACAACAAGGAGACAAGAATCCTTGGGGATGGCAGGGCCCCCTGCTCAGCCGACCTCACCCAAGGCCAGGGAGTCCACATGGCTGATGCCACGCCGCGCTGCATTTAGATAAGACAAAGAATGTCAGCAAGTTAGAGGTCAAGCCTCCTCCCAGCCCCCAGTCCAAGATGAGGGCGAGGTGGTGGTGATGGTGGTGGCCACAGCAGAGCAGGAGGCGGCGGCAGCAGAGGAGGAAGGAAGGATTGTTTTTGCCTGTTTCCTTCGGAGGCCTGAGGTGCTAGGAAGAGGTTTACAGCTGCAGGAACCCAGAGCCTGGGCGGCAGGGAGAGGGGGCCGGCAACCTGATTGATTTTGGCAAGGCCTTGGTTGCAGGGGCCAGCAGAGAGCAATCTAGATTTGTATCAGCTTAAAGAGGCTCAGGAGGCAGAGGGCGGCCGCCTGCCCTCCTGACTCCTAACCCTGTCCCAGGTCTGCTGGGGCAAGGCCTGTGCAAGGGAGGCGGGTTGGGAGTGCTAACTGGATTTTTTTTTTTATTTTTATATCAAGACACTGTGTTTAAAATTTTTACAAAGGACAAACTCCATGGGTTTCCGTTAGTGTTTTAAGAACTTTTCTTTAAAAAAAAAAAAAAGCCAACAACAACAACAAAAAAAACACCGCCTTTTTGAAAGTGAAAATGACAGACACAAAAAGAGACTGTAAAGAAAGTGGGGCAGAGGCAGAGCCCAGATGATGAGGGGGTGGGGGCAAAGTGACATGGCCTCTGGAGGCCCTTGTTCACCACATCTCAGGGCTCTCGGGCTAGCCAGGGCGATGTTGCTGGCCTTGGGGGAAGCAGGGCAACCCTCCATGGGGACCCAGAGGTGGTCGGATGCCTCTCCCTTGCGACTCTCCAGTCCCAGCCATCATTAGCTCCTTCCTCCTTCCACCCCATGGTTTCGCTCGAACCTGTTTCTTTCGGGTGGGTGGGGGGGCTCGGAGGGAGGAGGAGGAGTCCTTTCCCTTGGCCTGATTGTGTGAGCACTGGGGGTTCCAGAACCAGAGCGACCTGGGTCCGGAGAACCTCCCTTCCACAGCCTCTTAGCACTCATGGGTTGAAAAAGCATTTGCTTGAAAATTTTTTTTTTAAAAATCAACAAAAACAAGACCCAGAAAAAAGACCAAGTCTGGGGGGTGGGGGGAGGAAGAGCTAGTGTGCTCTTGACAGCTCCCGAGTCTGGAGTTGGTCGGTGGTGCAGTTCCAAGAGAGGCCGAAGGCGAGCACCGAGGGGGTGTCCAGCTGTGGCTTTCAGGCCCCCCAGGAGTGTCTGTGGTCAGGCTCAGGGAGCTGGCTGCAGCTGCTGTCCCACGGGTCCTCGGTTGGCCGAGGACTCCTTGGCGTCCCCGTTTGCAGGGTTTGTTCACGTTTGCTTCCATATCGGTGTTGCTGTCTGTACATGCGGGTGCATGTCCACATCTGTCTGTGTTTGTGCAGGTGGTTCTGCTGTAGGGTGTGGGTGCGTGCGTATACATAGATGTCTGTCTGTGTCCGTGTGTGCGTGTCTGTGTGCGCATGTGTGCGTGGCTCTGGGAGGGAGGGAGCTGGGGGTGGGGGGCGGGGAGATGAGCTGTGCCCCTGGGCTGGAGCTATACCCGGGTGGTGGAGTGTGAGTGGGGCAGCCCGGTGCTGTTGAACCCTGCGGCAAAGGTGTTATAGGGGTGCAAGGTCTGCAGCCCTACCAGCGAGTTGGGGATCATCGTGATGGTGTTGGGGGTCATGAGTGGGATGTCATCAGGGGAGCGCCGCAGGGTCAGGGTGTAGTCGGGCAAGGCGGTGAGACGCAGCGTGTCGTGCGGGGGGCCGGCCTCACACTCATGGTGGGTGGGGCCCAGCTGTAACGCCGCTAGCTCCTCCTCAGGGGCAGCTCCTAATTCTGGGGCCCCGGCTCCCCTCTGAGGGCTAGGCTGCCGCAGGGGCTCCTGGCGCCGCTTGTCCTTACGGTAGTAGAGGGCAGCAAAGGCCAGCACGTTAAGGAACAGGAGGGAGGCCCCCACAGCGATGGTGACACTCAATTCGGTGGAGTAGTCACGAGGATTCTCCACCAGGAGTGGCCCTGCGTCCTGGTCCCCATTCCAGGAGCCTTGGGCGTTCTCGTTGCTGTAGGCAGGTGAGATGGCTGGCCGCTTGGTGCTCCAGGTCTTGCCATTGGGCCTGCGGGTGATGTGGGAGCTGTGGGTGGTATCCGGGGGCGGCACTTTGGTGGTTGTGGACGTATAGTGGAACATGTCATGCAGGTTATACAGATGGGGCACCAGGTGTTTCCAAAAGGCCACCTTGGTGGCCCGGTAATGATCGCGGACCCTTGGTTTCAGCCCGATGTGAAGGTAGAGCTGGTCTCGGGGATTGTATTTGGACCAGGCCACTTCCTCAAAGCGGTTGGCCTTGGTGTGAATGAACTTGGTGTCCTGGGGGACCGGCTTGTTGGGATCCCTGAAATACCACATGGAAATCTGGGGTCACCACTCTACCCAGACGAGGAAAGGGCCCAGCGTTTGTCCTCTCACACCCACCCCCTAAACCTCTTCCCAGTCGGAAACATACCCCGCCCCCGGACTTCCGTCTTTTTCAGGGCCCCTCCCTCTCTCCCCCTAGGCTTGAACTTGCAGGCCCCACAGTGAGCAGCGGCATAGAAAACCGTCTCATCCTCCTCTGTGCTCATCTTCCAAGATCAGGCTACAAATGGGTTTTCTTCTCTTCACATGAGCACCTGTCAGTCCTGCCGCCACCTGGCTGTGCTAAGGGCCCTCCTCCGAAGCCTCTTTCTGAACGTACTTTATGCCCACTTCCTGTGGCCTCTGGCCGTGGACCTTGAACTCTCACTCGTGCTCAGTCCTACCGCTAACTGAGTTCCAAGCCTCCACACACGTTCTGAAGGAAAGAAGATGGCATGAGAGATTGGAGAAGGGGAGGCAGGAAGGGCAAGCCAGTTTCTGGGGCTATCTTAGGGAAGATGAAAGAGGTTTAGAGAGAGGAGCAGAGGAGACGGCATGCTGGGTGAGGGGGGGGTCCCAAAGAAGGAAAAAAAAAAACCATTTTCTCCTTACCCAGTCTTGGCAAAGTTGGTCCAATAGGTCATGACAACAGCACTGAGCATAACATCATTCTTGGAGAAGTTGCAGGGGAAAAGGTCAGTGGGACCTACCATGGGGACACCAAAGACGTAGGGTACTTCGTCCCCATGAGCTGCATCTGACCAAGCAGGCTTCATGAGGCTCTGGCAGTGATGGTAGAAGGCGTAGAAGTAGGTAGGTGAGCCATAGCGTGCATGCAGATCGGCTGTCACCACCGAAGGCTCCACCCACTGGTGGTCGGTGAAGAGCGCCACCAGTGTTTTACGGCGGGTCTCAGGATTGTCGCGGTCTGCCCAGTCTGTGTACATGAACTTGATGGTCTCCCGCAGGGTGTCCTTCCCCTCGGGATAGCCATACAGATTGTCCACAAAGTTGGAGACGGAATAGTCAAAGTCAGTGCCAGAGACACCGTCCTCGGGGTCGACCACCCCTTCCACAAACTTGAGGCCCTCGCCCTGGTTGACACCTAGCATAATATCATAGTTGAGGAACTCGCCTTGTTCCATGAGGATCTCCGGGTCATCAGGAATGACATCACCGTCGATCACGGGGCCAAAGGCCACATGGTAGCGGGCCGGCTGGATGTCCTGTTCTACCAGCTCCTTGGCGCTCTTTTGTCGAAGGCAGTCCACCATATCCACGGTGTCCAGCACGTTACAGCCCACTTTGTCTGCCAACAGGCTGGTGTACTTCACCGGCTGGTAGTTCACAGCCCAGCTGGACAGAGCAGAACCACTTTGGATGATGGCCCTCTGGAAAAGCCCTATGGAAGACAGGCAGCATGAGGTCAGATCGGTCGTGTCTCACACACACAACAACAACAAAACATCCTATTGCTTGGCCACTGAGATCGCCATGCACTTTGAATGGGCTGGGAAGGGAGAAGGACACTTTCAGCAGTGGATGAGGGGTTAGGCCCAGAGGAGGGTTGCTGAGCCCTCCGCTGAAAGGCGAGCTCCCCACCCCACCCCCCACCATCAGGTGTCTCCATTGCTTCCCTTGCCTGGTGGGATGGTTGGTAACTTGGGGGTTAAGGACATGCCAGGAAGAATTAACCCATTGGGTCCCACACATCAGCCTCCTTATGCGCCCTCTCTTTATCTCTCGTTGTCTTCCTTTCTTGCTTCCTGCCCAGCTGGGCCCCGCTCTGTGCCAGCGCACCACCAGGGAGCTGGCGCTTATACCACAAAGGGGTCTTTTTCATGAGGGATGAGAAATGCAGGCAGGAGAAGAGCCCCACATTCGGGGAGTGTGGGGGAAAGATCTCGAGGGCAAAGGCCTTGGGGTCTGAAGGTGCCCAGGGCACGTGCCCTCCTAGTGTGCAGTCTCCAAAGAGATGTTTTTCCTGAAGCTACTGATAGCAACTTCACACCCACATTTTGCCTCCCCCACCACTCTCCCCCACAGCTCAGAGGCAGCCAGTCCCCCAGACTCAAAAAGGAGACGATTCTTCCCCTCTCTAGGGGGGAAAAAAGAGGGTACCATTCTTTCCTTAGCCCTAGCATCCCAAGGCAGAATTTGGCATGTCTGAGAGAAAGGCGGTTTGCATGGGCAGAAAGAGAGGGAGACAAATGTAGATTACAACTCAACAGACAGCCTCACTTTTCCCAAGACCACTATTCCATGAGTCAATTCCAGAGAGATCAAGAGAACGGATCTTTAAAGAAGCGAGGCTTCCCAAGACAGGGGCCCCGATGAGACAGAGCACGATGCCCCTCCAGGAAAGGAAAGAGTCCAGTCGGAAGCAGTGCCCTCACAGCGGTCCTTCAGCCGCCTTTGGGGAAAAAGGGGGAGGCAGTCTTGTTCCCGCTCCTGTCACCCAGGAACACGTTCTCTCCCTTTCGCGAGGCAGGTCCCACCTGACTCTTCCCTCCCCGGGTAGCCTCACCCTGGAGGGCAGAGACAGAATTTCTAGGTCTCTGAGGGACTGAAAGTCTTCCTGTGAAAACCTCACCAATTTGTGGCGTTGGCTTTGACAACAAGAACATGTCTTCTCACAGATTTCCTTACTTCAGAAAAGGTCACTTCATATTTCAGGAAGCTGTTGCCTTCAGGAGAAGCTCAGCTTTGCCTCGCAGAGACAGAATGTTCTCTCTAGCGCAGAGGTGGACAGAACATTCTGTGCCGTGCAAAAAAAAAAGTGGGGGCCTGTGTGGCCTCCTGTTTAGGGGAGAGGTTAAAATGAGTCTTGGGGTGCTGATGTTGGAGCACAGTGGGTTAAGAGGCCACCTGCAGTGCTGGCATCCCATATCAGAGCACTGGTTTGAGTCCTGGCTGCTCCCCTTCTGATCCAGCTCCCTGTTAATGCACCTGGGAAAGTAGGTACTTGGGCCCTTGCTACCCATGTGAAAGACCAGGATGGAGTTCCTGGCTTCGCCCTGGCCCAGTCCTTGGGGCCATTTGGGGAGTGAACTAACAGATGGAAGATCTCTCTCTCTCTCTCTTTGCCTCTGTTACTCTTTCAAATAAATAAATAAATCTTTTTAGAAAAGATTCAGAAGGCCTTCATGCGCTATACTTCAATTCTCTTACTAACTCAAATCCTTCAAAAAAAAAAAAAGTCTGGGGGGAGAACATTTAGTACAGCTGGTTGAAATGCCCACATCCCAAATCTGAACGCACGGTTCAATTCTTAGCAACTTTGCTTCCAATCCAGCTTTCTGCTAATGCCCACCCTGGGAGGCAGTAGGTGATGGCTCAACTATTTGAATCCCTGCCACCCACATGGGGAGATCTGGATTGAGTTCCAGGTTTCTGGCTTCCGCCCGGCCAAACCCTGCATGGTGTAGGCATATGAGAAGTAAACCAGAGGATAGAAGATTCTCTCTCTCTCTCTCTCTCTCTCTCTCTCTCAAATAAAGTGAAAACCAAATTAGTCTCAAGGTGGGAGTTGTGGCACAGGGGTAAGCTGCTACTCAGGACACCTGCCTCCCATATGGGAGCGGCTGGTTCGAGTCCCAGTTACTCTGTTTTGATCCAGCTTCCTGCTAATGCACCCGGGAGGTAAAAGAGCTGGAGTACTTGGGCCCCTGCCACCCATATAAGAGACCCCGATTGAGTTCCTGGCTCCTGGTTTCAACCTGGCCCAACCCTGGCTGTTACAGCCATTTAGGGGAATAAACCAGCAAGTGGAAGATCTCTTTCTCTCTCTCTGTTTCTCCCTTTCTGTGTGTTCCTCTGCCTTTCAAGTAAATAAATAAATAAATAAGATTTTTTTAAAAATAAAAAAGAATCTCCCTTGGGTGTATTGTGTCACCTGGGGGAAGGTTTGGGGTCCAATAATAGACCCTTGTCCCTCAGAAGTCCACCTCTCAGGGTAGGGATTCTCATTTCAGACCCACCTCGCCCTCAGAGACGCTTCCCTTCTCGTACGGACTTGCTTCTCCGAGAGAAAGGCAGAGAGTCTCTCTGACACTCAGAAACTCATTTTCGTCCCCAGATCACTATGGAATGAGGTCCCCTGCCCCAGAAGAACTACTGTCCTTGGGGCCTGTGCTGTGGCACAGTGGGTTAACGCCCTGGCCTGAAGCGCTGGCATCCCATATGGGCGCTGGTTCGAGACACGGCTGCTCCACTTCCAATCCAGCTCTCTGCTATGGCCTGGGAAAGCAGTAGAAGATGGCCCAAGGCCTTGGACCCCTGCACCCACGTGGGAGACCTGGTAGAAGCTCCTGGCTCCTGGCTTCGGATCGACACAGCTCTGGCCGTTGCAGCCATCTGGGGAGTCAACCAGCAGATGGAAAACCTGTCTCTCTGTCTCTACCTCTTTCTGTAACTCTGTCTTTCAAATAAATAAAATAAATCTTAAAAAAAAAAAGAACTACTGTCCTTTCAGAGAGGCAAGTCTAGTTCTACTCTCCCAAATAAGACCCCCGTCTCGGGAGAACCTTGCTTTCTCAGGGCACTTGTTTCCTTAGAGGAAACAGGTCCATTCCTCCCTTCCCAGCCACCCTGCAAAGCAATATTGGGGGCACAGAGCTGGGCATTCTGGAGCCTACAAGGCCTGGGGCTCAGGGTGGCCCTGTAAGCTACTCACCCTCAGAGTGATGGGACAGTGTGAGGAGGCTGACACAGGATGCGCCGATGCCCGAGCCGAAGACGGTGATACGGCGGGGATCTCCTCCGAAGAAGGCGATATTCTCGCTCACCCAGCGGAGGGCCTGGATTTGGTCAAGGAGCCCATAGTTGCCCTTGGCAGCCTGATCTCCGGTGCTCAGGAAGCCTGGATTCAACAGAGGGGACAGTGAAGAGGAGGAGGCAGGATTCGGGTTAAGATGGCGGGCAGGAGTCGGGGAGGTGAGGATAGAGGGTGAACATGCCGCGTGGCCCTTTCTACCTCGCAACTAGAAGCCATTGCTGCCTTTTTGCAAGGTCTAGTGTCAGCAGTACACGAAAGGGTGGTCCCCAGTCTCCCGCTTGTTATCCAGCTGGGAAGGAGGGGCCTGCAGGTGAGACCCTTAGATCGCAGGAACTGCAAATGGCCAGAAGTCAGCATTCTTTGCCCTGCTGTATTACCCAGGGACAGTATCCTAATATCTCGTGAGATGTGGAGGAAAGACAGGGGGCTTGGAATCAGCCAGTCCTTAGTTTGAGTCCTGGCTCTAACACATTCTAGTTATATAGCCTTTGGGCAAGTTATTTAAAAGCTCTGGGCCGTAGTTTCCTCTTCTGCAAAATGAGGCTAAAAATACCTCACAGAGTGGTGGGAAGGATCCAATGAGCATAAGCATGTATAACGTGTGCAGCACACTGTAGAGCTGCATTTAGTTCTCTTTCCCCATCTTTCTCTGTCTCCTTGCCCTTCCTGTAGGAACGAGTCCACCTCCACTTCTTGCCAGGGCCTCCAATCTCCCCCTGCCCTCATTCCCAGGGCACTTCTCATTGCCCTTCCTCCAAGACCTGGGGCCCGGCAATCTGTGTTGTTAACAAGCTCTCCAGGTGATGCTGATGCCTATGAAAGTCGCACAGCCACTGGCTTAGACCATCTTGTTCATCTGGCGGACAAATGGGGAAGTCAGTGCCGTGTGCGTTACCACAGAAACAGGTTTTCCCGCCCACCCACGGGGATTTGCTGCTGAGGAGACAGATCACCATGGAGACTACCTTCCCGCCCACCTGCTGGGATTTGCTGCTGTGGAGACTTGTTGCCATGGAGACTACCTTCCCGCCCACCTGCTGGCTATCCCACAGAGATGCCCTATATTTCCCCCCACCCCGCTTCCATTTTAGACTGATCTCTCTCCCCCTGATCGGCAGGTTCTTTGGAAGGCTCTGTCTTCTCCAGCCCTAAGCTTTCGGAAGGGGTCTTTCCAGGTGGGGACTTGCAGCGCTCCTGCAGACATTGCCAATGCACACTAGGATGAGTATTTTTTGACTCCACAGTTAAGAGCTCACTCACAGCACCTGGAATGAACTTTGCACAAGGCCATGTTTCAGGAGGCCTGGCAGCTCACAGAGCTCCCTGGCCATCCAGGGAGTCCATGGGTGGGGGCTGAATTCCAGTAGACTAAAGAAGGTACAAGCCCTCATGGCTATCTTTCCAGAGTCTTCTGTAGTTAGCTCCCACAAAAGAGCTCATCTTCCACCATGTCACTGATTTTACCTCTGGTAGAATGAAGTATGTCAAAGGCTTTGTTATTCCCCCCAGGACCTAGTGACAAGACTCCTTTAACCCCAGGTTCCAGAGGAGGAAACGAGGAGACATCAGAGAAAGCCCAAATGAGGATGAACGGAGGAGTCCCGGTTCCCGCAGACAAGGGAGCTTGCTTCTCCTTTGCTTGCCCCATGGAGAAACTGTAGCTGCTTCCACAAGCCTTAAGTACTCTGCTGACCGCGATCCCACCCAGCTGCCCAAGCTGTGAGCCCCTCTGGTCAAATTCCCTCAGTGCTTCTGTCAGTCCTCTCTCCTTCCCCCATATTCTCTTTTCCTTGACCAAGGCATCATTCAGGGAAAGTGTGCATTCGGTCCTAGTAGAGCAGACTGCTCCAATTTCTTGGGTGAGGAACAAAGGCTCCAGCAGGGAGGATTTAACCATCACTCTCTGCTCCCTTGGGTCCCATGAGCCCTAGATACGGGACAATGAAGTATGTGGCTGGTGCCATATCAAACATCCTTACTGGGGCCGGCGCTGTGGCATAGTGGGTAAAGCTGCCAGCTGCAGTGCCGGCATCCCATATGGGCGCCGGTTTGAGTCCCAGCTGTTCCACTTCCAATCCAGCTCTCTGCTATGGCCTGGGAAAGCAGTAGAAGAAGGCCCAGGTCCTTGGGCCCCTGCACCCAAGTGGGAGACCCCGAAGAAGCTCTTGGCTCCTGGCTTTGGATCAGCACAGCTCCGGCCATTCTGGCCATCTGGGGAGTGAACCAGTGGATGGAAGACCTCTCTCTATCTCTCTCTCTCTCCCTCTGCCTCTCTGTAACTCTGCCTTTCAAATAAATTTAAAAAATCCTTACTCTGAGAAGGGTCCTGCTTGAAGTTCAATATCCAACAAGCTTGAGCAGCTTATACAGCAGACCCGACTGACTACAAACACGCCAAACCTGGCAGTGTGGCAGAGTAGTCACTGCTAGTTTCCCAGGAACTCAGCCACCCCAGAAACCACTTGAGAGTGGAGGCTGAAACACCAAACTGTGGAAACTATCAGAATATATCTGAGCCAGTCTCCCTGCGCCTGAGTTTATATTGCAACACATGGTAAGCTGATTGTCAACAGATTGTATCAAAACCAGATACTTGTGTCACTTAAGGCTTGACGTTTGCCAGGTTTTCAGTTTGCCTGCAGGGTACCTGAGCAAGGAAGGAGGATTAAATTCTGGAACCCAGAATAAAACTTGGCACGCTCCTACTTCCTCAGCCCCAGGAATATCTGTATCTTATATCCTGCTGGAGTTCCTTTCTTTTGCTGGCTCCAAGCCCGCTGGGGGCTTCTCAAATAATAGCTAGCCCTCTGCCTTGGAGGGGATTCATGGATTAGCCTGTGACATTCTCAACATACATGACTCATCTAAGATATAGGATAGAGAAGCCCCTCAGGGTGAGCAGTCTGCTTGGGCTTGGCGCTCAGGAGAAGCTGCTGGGAGAGAGAGTGAATGAATGCCTGGAATTGGGGTCCAGAACCAGCCATGTGGTTTGGAATGCTTTGAGAAAGAGAATAACAAAGCCTTAGCTTCACAACACAGTCCCCAAGCATCAGGGACAAACCCCTGTTCTACATCTGCCAAGAAAAAAAAATCTTGTCTGTACCCAGAACCCAATCAAGTGGCTTATTGATTATATTTGCATTGCAGAACAGGAAATGAAGGGTACACAGAAAGTGGTGGAGAACTTCCAAAGAAATCTCAGTTTATAATTCCTTGCCAGGGGCCGGCACTGTGGCGTAGTGGGTAAAGCTGCTGCCTGCAGTGCCAGCATCCCGTATGGATGCTGGTTCGTGTCCCAGCTGCTCCACTTCCAATCCAGTTCTCTATGGCCTGGGAAAGAAGTAGAAGATGGCCCAAGTCTTTGGGTCCCTGTACCCATGTGGCAGACTCGAAAGAAGCTCCTGGCTCCTGGCTTTGGATCGGCGCAGCTCTGGCCGTGGAAGCCAATTGGGAAGTGAACCAGTGGATGGAGGACCTCTCTCTCTGCCTCTCTTTCTCTCTGTGTGTAACGCTGACTTTCAAATAAATAAATCTTTTTTTTAAAAAATAATTCCTTGCCAGTTTGGGGTAATAAAAAAATCCATGCATATGTGGGGTCTTCAGAAAGTTCATGGAAAATATGTATTCTGAAAAAACTTTGGGGGGCTGGCACTGTGGTGTAGCAGGTTAAGCTGCCATCTGCAATGCTGGCATCCCATATGGGCGCCAGTTCAAGTCCTGGCTGCTCCACTTCCAATCCAGCTCCCTGATAATGTACCTGAGAAGGCAACAGAAGATGGCCCAAGTGCTTAGGCCCCTGCACCCATGTGGGAGACCCGGAAGAAGACCTGGCTGTTATAGCCATTTCAGGAATGAACTAGCCGATGAAGATTTCTGCCTCTCCCTCTCTCCCTGTAACTCTGACTTTCAGATAAATATATAAATTAAAAAAAAACTATTCACAAATTTCAAAAACTTTGCACTAAAATAAACTTACCTTTTAATTCCATTTTCCGTGAACTTTTGGAAGTATGCTTATTATTTTCATCATCAACATAAGCAAGTCTTAAGAATAACACTCCTGTCCCCTATATGTGTTCTTCTAGTTATTCAAGTGAGAGGAGGCTATAAAGGGTCTTCTTAACCTGGGTGAATTTCAGGGGTATCCATGCAATTGTGTGTGTATATGTGTGCACACGCGTGTGTGTGTATGTGCACACATTGTTCTGGGGAGAGGCCATAGCTTCATCAGGTTAAGAACTTTTGATGTTGGCCGGCGCCGCGGCTCAATAGGCTAATCCTCCACCTAGCGGCACCGGCACACAGGGTTCTAGTCCCGGTCGGGGCGCCGGCTTCTGTCCCGGTTGCCCCTCTTCCAGGCCAGCTCTCTGCTGTGGCCAGGGAAGGCAGTGGAGGATGGCCCAAGTGCTTGGGCCCTGCACCCCATGGGAGACCAGGAGAAGCACCTGGCTCCTGCCTTCGGATCAGCGCGGTGCGCCGGCCGCAGCACGCCAGCTGCGGTGGCCATTGGAAGGTGAACCAACGGCAAAAGGAAGACCTCTCTCTCTCTCTCTCTCTCACTATCCACTCTGCCTGTCAAAAAAAAAAAAAAAAAAAAAAAGAACTTCTGATGTAGAAGCTTAAGGATTAGAGCCGCCAAGGGGCCGTGATGTAATCGGGGCATCGGCGCTCACAGGGCAAGCTCCCCAACGTCAGCCTTCTGTGCAGCCCACAGCTCCAAGCTGATGCTGCGGAGACTTCACAGTCTGGGCGAAATCCCCAGTCCTTCCTTCTGTCTCCTTTCTGCCTTCCTTTGCCTGCAGCGCTCTCGTCCTCGTTTCTCCCCAGCCCTTCTCGACTTCTCCTTTTCCCCCTCTCCTCTGCTCTCTTTTCCTTCTCTCAGTCTGCTGGCCTGCTAACATGGCACTGAGGCCAAAGCTTAGCATTCTCCAAATCAGCCTTCTAGAATGGAGCTCTGTCTTTAAAATTGTTAAAAGAAAGGAAAATTGCTTTTGGCCTGTAACAACTGTGTGTGTGTGTGTGTGTGTGTGTGTGTGTTATGCCCCACGTAACCCTATCCACCCACCTGTCAATCAGATGACCCCCTCCCCAGGATGTACCTCCTCTTGCCTGGGACCTGGGGATGGTACCATGTAACCATACCTCTTTCTAAGCTCATAAGGAACCTGGTAAAGGGAAGGGTTCTTTCTTTCTCTCTCTCTCTCTCTCTCTCTCTCTCTCTCTCTCTCTCTCTCTCTCCGTCCCCCCACCACCACCACCACGTGGACCCAGAGTGAGCAGGGTATGAAAACCTCTCTCTTTTCCTTTCCTGGCCCACTTTCCCTGAACAATGCCCACGTGTGCATGTGTATCTTTTCCTCACTTTGTAAATAAACTATCACTTTTCACATTCTGTTTGTGCCTGTACTTAGACTGCTTCTCCAAGGAAGAGGTAAGAGCCTAGGACAGGAATGTAGGCCCAACCTAGCCCACAGCAATGACGCCCTGAAATTCAGATCCCCTTTCTCCACAAGGTAGAACAGCTGGCAAGAATCCAGCTGTGGTGTTGGAGGCAGAGCAGAAAGATGAAGTGGCAGGGACAGAATCATGGGGTCCAGAGCCCACCAGGCTGTGTGAGCCCAGGTAATGCCCTGCGTGCATATCTCTCAGCCCCACCTGTCCCAGGTGCCACTGACGGGGACACACACTCTGTTTTTTCCCAGGGAATATAATTTCTCCAATCTGAACTAAAAAAAAAGGTCTCTTTCTGTCCCACATAGTGATGTGATAAGGGTAAGTCAACCGAGATGGGCCTTCTGCATATATAAATGCACCACCAGGGCCTCACCCCAGGGTTGGAAGGCGCAAAGCAACAGAGTGAAGTGCACCAGTGAGAACAGTTGGCCATGGAGTGAGCCATGCCTCACTGCTGGCTCCGTACCGAGGCCTACAGCTTCACAAGCAGCCTAGGCCCTCCCCTCACCCACTGCAACTCTGAGGACACAAACCCTCCAGGCAGGAAGTTGGCTTCCTCCAGGCACTACAGGGACACAGGGTCCAGATGAGCCAGGTCCACATGCTTAGTTACCCTCTCTGAAGCGCTTGTTTACCTGAAGACCTGGGCCCTAGATAGGCATTGGGAGATCACCAAGGAAGGTGCAGAATAGAGAGGCAGCTTAAAGTGCTGAAACAAGTGTGTACACAGCAGTGTGTGTGTGTGTGTGTGTACGAGGAGGTGTTTGGGATGGAGTGCAAATGCACGTGTAACGGGTGGTAGCGTGTGAGAGAGCAGGAGGATGTGTGTTCGGAGGCACGGCTATGCTTCCAGGGAGTACAGGTGTGTGTGCATGTATGCACGGATGCAGCTCCACGTAACCTGGATGCATATAGATTTGTGGGGTGAGGTGAAGGAACAAGCACATGTCTATTTATTGGGTATATAGACTAGGATACTTCAAAGAGTTTATGGAAAATGGAATGAAAAGATAAGCTCATTTGGGCACCCAAATGCTTGCAACTTACGAGTAGTTTTTTTACAACATGGCATTTCCTGTGAACATTTTTGAAGGCCCTTCACATGCAGGGTATGTATGGGAAAAATGCATAAATCTACATGTGTGTGTTAGAACATGTAGGGGGAATACATATGTGTAGGACATGGGATATGTGCAGATGTGCAAGCAGGGATACAGGGAGGCTGTGTGCATGTGTAGCATTTGTAAATGTATGGGGTGGACATACAGGTGAGGCTATATGTGTGTAGGGAGGGGGTATTGGTTTGTATTTACACGGGGAAGGTGAGGGACAGACTTGTGTATGGGGGTGGTGTGTGGGGGTATGGAGTAGATGATGTGAAGTATGGTGGGTAGAGGGATATTGGTAGGTGTTTGTGTGGGAGTAAGGTGGAAGGAATACCTATGTGCATGTATATCTTTTGAATACATGTGTGGAGTTTGGGTGGGGGTGTGGCTGTGCAAGGTGTAGGCTATAAAGATGGAGGCAGATGAAAGTGGGATGTGGATCTGTGCAGTGTGCACGGGTGGAGAGGTGGGAAGACGTATATGAGAATGTGTGTGTGTGTGTGTGTGTGTACATATACAAAGGGTGAGAGAAATGTGTACATGTGGGGTGTGGCTGGGGAGTGTGTACAGCCTGTGGGTAGGTGGATGTGCATGCCTGGGACAGTGTCTTTCTGGGTGATGGGGTGTGTAGATGCAGATGTGGGGCTAAGCGTGTGTGCTTTGTGGAGGTGCATGTGTGGGAGTGGCTGGGGTGGGTGTGTGAGGGTATATGGGTGCATGGGCATGGTGTCCACTAGAAGGAATCTGTGTGTGTGTGTGTGTGTGTGTCTGTGTCTGTGTGTGTAGGCGTGAAGAGAGGACACTAGAAAATTTAACAGGCCCTACAAAACTCATCAGCCAAAATCCTGGTAGCAAGGAATTGACTGGGGACCTAAGAGAAGGTGTGAAGTTTGGATTTCCAGTGGTCCCTACACTGGGGTAGCTGCCAGGATTTGGCTAGGGCCCATGGCCATACAGCATTTTTACCATGGTCATGAACACCAGTTAAAGAGCCAAGGCTTAACTGCCCCCCGGCCCTGCCCCAGGCATTCTTTCCTCCCAGCTTTGAGAAGTCAGTCTTCCTTCTAGGCACCTGGCAGGAAGGCGTACCTAGCACCCCAACCCGGTAGTTGAGGGTGATGACGATGACGTTGCCATAGCTGGCGAGGACACTGCCGTCAATCATGTTGCCTGTCCCTTCCATGTAAGAGCCTCCGTGGATATAGACCATGACGGGTTTAGCGCCACTGTCCCGGATGTCTGCAAAGAGAAGGGGTGAGACACAGGCTGGGTAGGATGCCCTTCCTCCCCCACCCCCGCCAGCCCTGGGTTGGGTGGGGGAGTGGGGGGAGGGGGTGCAGGCAGCAAAGCTATCCCAGGTGCCAGGACACTACCACCATCCCTGCGGGCAGGACTCGCGTGGGGTTGCTCGGCCTGGAGCTCAAGCCTTGGCCAGAGCCCTCTGGGCTTCCATCATGTGTTTTAGAGACTCTGCTTACTGGCGCCTCCCAGCTAAAGGCAGCTAGGCTGAGGGGTGGGGGGGGGCAGCAGGAAGAGGGAGGGCTGGCCTCCTAGCTGCGTCAGCTGAGTCCCTGCCCTGGGCACCCAGGAGTCCTGGGACCTGACATGGCTTTAGAAAACCGGGGGCTGGGAGCCCTGCAACCCCAAGACTACACCAGTTACATGGAAAAACAGCCACTGGCAGCAGCTGGCCCCCAGTGCAGACAGAGACAAGAGGTGTGGGAGTAAGGGGTGGCACGGGACAGAACAAGGAAGGAGGAGGGGAGAGGGGCGTGAATGGCAGAGATTGGGGGGGGGGCGCCTTACTGACAAGGCTGCTCAGCCACGTGCCCTTTTCCCCATTCTCCCTGGGGGTAAGGCAGAGCTAAGGATTCGAGCGATTGTGCCCAGTCAGCATTAAGATGAAGATGGGGGCCTCCCCAGAGGCCATTCAATAAGGGCCCGGCAGGCAGCTGCTCCCGAGCCCAGGCAGCGAGGCGACGGGGCCAGGGCAGTCACAAGAAGGCTCCAGGCCTAATTCCCTCTGCCTGGTGCCTCTCATGTGTGAGCGGACCCCCCCGTTTGCCACACCCACCCTCCCCCCCCCCCAGCACAGCCCTGCCCATCACCAAGGGGCCCCCTGAGCTGGCCCCTCCAGGGGCGAAGGGGCAGGAGCAGGGCATGGAGGCAGAAGGCAGCACTCACTGCTGTGGAGCGGACACAACCTGTTTCCCCATCGAGCGATCGGCACCCCAGGATCTTATGCCGTCTGGCGACAGCCGTGGTGTCCTGGCCTCAGCCTGCCCTTAGAACCCACACACTCTTTCTGGCCCTGTTCCGAACCCACTGCAGTCCCTGGCCCTGAGGCCATCGCTCTGTTGTGGGAGAAGGCTGGGGAGAGCCTAGGCATTGCCTTTCTCCAGCCCCTTCAGTTCTTACTGTCTCACTCTTCGGTTCACCGTCCCGCTGGGCCCCTCTCCCAGGAGCCAGGCTCCCTGTGAGACGCAGGAGTCTCCGCAATGAAACCCAGGGATGGTCTGGCCATCTAGTATCCCGCGTGCCTCATCCCCCCACCCCCACCGTCCCGCCATCCCTCTTTCCTCTCCTTTCTCCTTGTGTTCAGCAGAGGCAGGTGCCCGGGAACCACAGAAGATGGGATTGGGGGACTGGGGCAAGGAGGATGCCTTCCCCGTGGCTCTGCTGTGGCTCCTGCTCCTGCCAGCCATGTCCATCACCCTGGAACTCCCAGTGGCCAGTGCGGCCAAAGATGGAGGAACAGCCCGTCGGCCTTGTACAGGAACAGAAACACACCAACGGACGGACAGACAGACAGATGGGGCTTCTCCCCATCGAGAAGGGGAGGGGCTCTGTGCCATGCACCAGCCGCCGCGCCCTGCAGCCCCCAAATACCTTCATCTTCATCCCCGTCATTATCCGCTAAGTCCTCGCCCTGTTTCTTAGCGCCGGATCCTGGGGACCAGACACGGGGAGACACAACAGCACAGAACAGAGAACAAAACAGAGAGAGAATTCAAAAACAGCATGACTGCAGTGTGGCCCAGCAAGCCAGCTCTGGGCCTGAGCCCAGGACAGGCAGGAGGGATGGCAAGAACTGAGGGAATGGGTGGGCTGAGGCCCAGACCTTTATCAGGATGATGGTGTTGCAGGCCTCTGCTGTGCTGGCCTCCCTGCACCTCCCTGCCCCACCTCCCTGTCCCCATCAGCCCATCTCAACCAATTCCCTTCCCAGTTAGGAAGGAGGTAGCGGCAGGTGGGCCAGGGCACAGAGCCAGAGGTCCACTTCCGGGGGTGGGGGAGGGGAGGATTCATTCTGCATGAAAGAGGCTGCACATGTGGGCCCAGGCAGGTGGAGCTGGAACACAGGGGCAGGTACCGCGGGTGAGGGATGACATTGCCAGCATGTGTGGGTATCCATGTGAGGTTGTTTCGGGCAGAGATGTGTACCAGGGACCCCAAGCCTGAGCTCCCAGGGCCCAGTGCGTGGGGGTTGGAGCCAGGCCTCAGCTGACCCTGATTCCCACAGGAGAAGATGGGAAATGAAGTTTGCTCTCTGCTCTTCCTCGCTGGGCCCTCCCCTGCTCTGGTTAATGGCAAATGGGGTTGCTGCCCGCAGGAACCAGTCTGGAGAGCAGCAAGCATTGCTCTGAGATGGAAAGCCAGAGATGCAGGGAGGGAAGGTAGAAAGGGCATAGGAGAAAGGGACAATGGAGAGAGCGAGAGAGAGCGAGCGAGAGCAAGAGAGGAATAATGGTGCTAGCTCCTGCCATGTACTGAAATATTTACCATGTACCATACCCCCTACTTCTGCCATATGGTTGGATGCTTACATCCCTATCTTTATTCCTGTTTCACTGATGGGGAAACTGAGGTTCAGAGAGGCTAAGTGACTTGCTCGAGATCACACAGCTAGGAGGTGCTCGAGGTGAGAGTCAAACCCAGGTCTGCCTGACTCCAAAGCCCATGGTCTTTCCACTGCACCATGCCGCCTTTCTGGGATGGGAGAAAGAGAAGGAAGAAACAGATGAGAAGAGAGATGGGAGCATGGAGAGGTGAGGCAAGGAGAGAAGAGACTAGAGGGGAGAAGAGAGACATTCCGGAGCTGGGGGTAGGCTGGCATCCACTCTCCTTCCTGTTTGAAGGAGATGAGAAGTACATCTTCTGAAGGGGGGGGGGGGGGCTCTCCTGTCTGGATACCGGCCGGTGTGTGAAAACAGGGCTCATGCTCAGCCCGGAGGCAGGAAAAGCCCCCTTTCCCAGGCGACCTGGGCTCTGGGGACCGGCTTTCCCGAGAGCTAGCCATCAAAATGGGACGTGCCCTCATACGACAAGATGGCCTGTCCACTAGGGCTAGAGCCCAGCCCTTGGGTAGAGCATACCCCCAGCTTCCTGGACTTCTGGGAACACCTACCGTCTTCCCGCGTCAGCTCAACACCTGCCCGCAGTGCCCTCAGAAACCCGCTGGGACGCAGACATCATCACCCACGCAGAAGCCAACCCATCAGACTGCCAGGACTCCCTCCTCCCGACACATGGATTTCCTCCCACTCTGCCGGGCGGGGGCGGGGCTGAGGGGCGGGACAGCTCTGCCCCAGAAACCCCCTTCACTTCCTGTCGTCGGCTGTTCCTGACTTGCAAGCTGTGTCCCCCTGTTCCACTCTGACAGTGTCCCTGGACGGCTGCAGCTTGAAAGTTGGCCCTTGCTCGGTAACTCCTTGCTGTCATGTTTCTCACCCAGGACGGCTCAGCCCCCGTCCCCAAACACTGGGCCTCTGCAGGATGGCAACCAGGCCACCCCATCTGACCTATGCATGCCACAGCCCTAATCACCTCTGGGTGTGGCTCTCATGATTCCTACTTCTTCGAATAGGCCCTGCATAGGGAACTAATTGGAACACTAAATGGGCAAATGTCGCCTCCCCCACCACACACACACACACACACACACACACACAGAGTCTGGAACCCACTGCTCGTGGGGCCTTAGGGAAATCAGCTGAGTTTTATGCCTAACTAGGAGCTTCTTCAGAGCAACAATCAGGCTGTTAGTCATGTCTAAATCTTTCCTCTACCTCAAATCCTGATAGCACCTTGCCCATGACCTTGCCCTAGTCCATTGTCATGATGGGGGAAATGTTCGTATTTGAGTAGGGGGCTTCTAGTCTGCTGTCTGGCCAAACTCTCAGGGCTGGCCTGGGCCACCCCGAGCTTTCAGAAGAACCCTGGGGAGGTCATTGTTCCTAATGAACGGTCAAGGTTAATATCAGCTCCTCTCCTTACCCCACTCCAGCAAGTAACTCACAGGAGCTGGTCCTAAGAGGTCTAACAGGCTGGCTTCCTGATGCTTTTATGGGTGAGTGGAATACAAACGCCCCATCAGTCCCCTACCTCAACTCCAGAGGTGGCAATGCTGGCTCCTAAAGGGATGCACTTGCCTAAGGGCTCACCGTGGGTTGGCAGCAGAGCTGGGACTCACTCAGGCTTTGTGTGTACGGTCCTGGGCTGCGCGTGGGCATGCAGCGAAACACTGTCCCCAAGGCATCGTGTCTCACGCCACGCTTCAGTGGGCACCTAAAGCGCACAGGGCCCCTGCTCAGCATGTCGGTTCCTGGGCTGTGCCTCCAGCAATTCTTCTTCTGCGGTAGGGAATATCCCATCCCCAGGAACCTGGGCGACCCCACTCTGAGAAACCCTGCCCTGGGACATGACGGGAAAACAAACTGCAAGCCTGCCGAAGGGCTGCACGGATCCGGCTGGCATTTTCCACCTGTTCCTTAGGCTCTTACTGATTCTAATTCCGTCCAACCCATCCACATGTCAGCTTTTCTTTGTTTGTTTGTTTCTTCTCTGAGTTGAGGAGGTGGGAAGGAGCCGATGGAGGCCGGCTCTGAGGGCTACAGTGGAAAGAACATGCCCTAAGGGTCAAAAAGGCCCAGGTTTGGGTCCCAGCTCTGCAACAGACCAGCACGGGGGGTGGGGTCGGCCTTGAGCAGCAGCAAGTCACTTCCCTGGGCCTGTTTCCTCATCCGTAAAATTGGGATCCTGACTCCTGCCTTACAGGCCTCCAGAGACCTGGAGGAGGAGTTTACGAGGTAACTACCAAAGGGTTTTGCAAGTGGCATGCAGAGCCGGGAGAGATTCCTCTCAGCAAGAGGGTGAATTTCAAATTCAGGAGATCATGTAAGCTGCCTTCTGAATTCTGACTGGGAGCTCCCAGACACCCCCTTGCCTCTCCCTGCCCCCACGCTCCGCCACCTGCATAGGTGACATAGGCATAGGTGGTCTGCCTGCTCGGCCCTGACTGCAGGGTGGTGGGGCCAGCGGTGCGGGCTGCATAGCAACAGTCACTAACCCTGCATACACGTGCTGGGTCTAAGCCTCAGGACTGGAGGATGGGGTCCAGACGTTCAACCCACGGAACAACTGAAGGGGGGGGACGGGAAGGGTCGTGTGGCTCACTGGCAAAAGGGCGGAGCCTCTGGCTCCGTCTTGGCTGTTTCTCCTGAGGTGTCACAGAGAGAGAGAGAGAGAGAGAGAGGGAGAGAGAGAGAGAGAGCGCGCGAGCCGCTGGCTCTGTCTTTGGTACTCACTCTAGGGTGGAATTTGGGACTGGGGAGATTGGAAGAAGGGGGAAATGGGGTTGCTGCTTCTGCTCTGAGCCTGTTCTCAGGTTCACCGACTCCTCCCTGAAAAGCAGCCAGGGCCCTCAGATGAGGCAGCCCCTGTGCCTGTTCACTGTGCCCTGAGACTGGGCTGCTTGAGGAAGGCCAGGTCCTCAGGGGCAAGGGCAGGTGGGCAGGCAGCCCTCCCTCTCTCTCTCTCTCCCTCCCCGCCGGCTCGCTACCTACCTCCTTTCCTACAAATTTTCTTGTTGGGCTTTCGGGCGCATTCCTTGGAAATCCGCTTTACTGTAAAATGAATAAAAAACTAAAAAATAACAGGAGGCCTCTGCCCAGGGGCATGCACCCCCCCACCCCACCCCCAGGCCCCAAGAGCTGAGTCGCTCTGCAGACGGCACATGGCAGAGAGCCTGTCCCACCATCTCCTTTTTTTCTGTCACTTACCTTTGTGTGATCCTCCCCCCCGCCCCGCGGGAGGAGGCATCAGCTAGTGAAAAGAGGAGCCACCTAAGCATTGCCCACCAGGCTCACCCCTGCCCACCCCCCTCCACGCCCAGCTCCCTTGGCCTCACACACCTACCACCTTTTGAAGCAGGTGGAATTGGCTATAGTGGTGGTGGGGGGAGGGCGGGGGGGTGCTGGTGGAGCCAGCGTCCTCCCGCAGGGCAGCTGCCGGTACTGACTCATACTCCCCCACCCTGGGGGGGGGACCCCCATCCAGCACTGGACCTTAACCTGTCAAAGCTCTGAGGCCTGACCAGGCCCTCTCCTGGCAACAGTGTCACTCACACATGGGAGCTAGGACAATGCTGGGAGAGGGAGGAACCGGGGCAGGGGGAGGGGGGCAAGAGGGGGCGGGGAGGCCAAGCTGAGTGATGGTTAGAAGCATTTTCACAGAGAGACAGACGCATGCTGCTGGGGTTTGCCACCACATGCAAGCCAGCGACACGACAGGGCAGGCGGGAGGCGGGGAGGGGCACAGTGGCAGGTCGCCGCACTCACCATCCTCCGTGGGCACATAGACATTCAGGTAGAGACAGTCTTCGTTGGGCTCCTGGATATAAGTAGCGACGATGTCCAAGTTGGCAGTGAACCAGACTGGCAGCATAACTTCGGGCACAGCTGTGTGGATGTTCTGGGGGCACACTGGGGGAAAGTGTGTGGCGTTCCGGATGCCAGACCAGGATGGGGGTGGTTCAGGGGGCAGGAAACGTTTCTCGCCGATCGGGGGCGCCGCGTAGGGCACCCCTAGGTATTGGTCCACAGGCCCCAAGATCTCACTGGGCAATGGTACCCGGGCACCCCTAAGCTTTCCAAAGTGAGTGTTGACCGTGGGCGCTGGGGCCTGAGTACTGGCCCTCAGCACCAAACTGACGAACCAGAGGGTGAGGCTCAGGCTGCGGCCGACTGTGGGTTTGGGGCTCAGGGACAGCGAGGGCAGGCCAAGCCGCAGCCACATGTTCCGGGCAGGGGGACTGGCAGAAGAGGCAGACTCCAGGGTCACAGCATCCGCCCAATAGGCAGCCCCTTCATGGTCACACTGACTTGAACCTCAAAAGTGAGGGAGCAGGTCGTCGGAGCACCACAGCTTCAGAAAGGGGACTCCCTCAGGGCCAGACAGGCCTGTGGAAAGAGGGAAGGACGAGTCATCCAAGACGCTTTGGAAGGGCCAGGAGTCTGTTTTGGTGTCCCGCTGGGCTTGGGCAATTCTCACGCCCAGGCTTCCAGAACCAGGCAGTCAGAACCATTCTATGCAGCACCTGGCCGAGGTTGGACAAAAAATCCAAGGGGATGGCCTGAGCGACGGTTGGTGCCAGTGTACGAGTTCACAGTTCCCAAGTTCAACTGCACAGCCAGTGGAGTTCATCAGGGTCAGCTGGAGCCAGAGTAGCACGTGGTAGGAGGGGGTGGGGGAGACCGCCCAGGGACCCCCTGAGCGTGCTGTGGGAACTCCCAGTGATCCCGCACAGGGACCTCCAGAGCAGGAGACAGCAGGATTGTTAACCTCACTTTGGGACACTTGCGCATAAGAAAAGAAAGCAGCAGCAAGGCAGAAGGTCCCACAGTGAGACCCCCTTTGCCCTCAGGCCGGGCAGGGGCAGGGGCAGGACAGTCTTTCACCAGAGTCCCCAGACCCTCCTGCGCTCTTCCTGGCCATTTGCCCTCAGCCTTCAACTGCTCCCAAATCCTTAAGCCTCGTGCTTTCTGCCGGATCTTTCTTAATTCACACCAAATGCTAGGACCCAAGGCACCCTAGGCACTGCCGATGCTCATCCAAGTCCAGTGTAAATTAAACAATGGAGTGTGGGGGACACACTCTCGGAGACTCATAGAAATAAACCCACCAAGACTCAAGGAAGACAGGGAGAGAGACCATGCCGGGATCACAGACATGCATTCCAGACCCAGAGACCCCCTCAGCGGGTCCCGCGCTGTCCAACAGAGCGCCTCCCACAGCCAGAGCCTCACAAGGCACACACAGAGACTTACGGAGACCTAATCACACACATCCGCATAGGTAAATACCCAGACACACACAGCGTAATGGTAACACATGGGTGGAGACAGACATAGAAATAGCAACACATCAGACACACGGGCCTCCTGACACCGTTACACAGCCGACACACACACAGGCGTTCCACACGGTCACACGCGCACGCCCAAGCACACGCACAACGCATGCACATTTCCTTTTCTCCGTTTCTCCCGCCTTCCAAGATTGCAGCTCTGCTCCTTTAAGAACTGGCTGAAGGGGTGGGGGAGGGCGATTGGGAACGCCCGGCAATCGGCCACCACGAGAGGGGAATGAGAATGTGTGTGTGCGTGTGCGTGTGCGTGTGCTTGTGTGTGTGTGTGTGTGTGTGAGAGAGAGAGTGAGCAAGAGAGCGAGAGCGAGAGCGAGAGCGAGAGAGAGACAGAGAGAGGAGAGAGGAGGAAGGGTGGGTAAACTGACCAAAGGGGTGGGGGCTCAGAGGAAATGGGGAGCAAAGTATGGGGGGGAAGATCCCAGACACTGCCCAGAATGCACCCCGATGGAGGGGAGGAGGGGAGGGGGAAGGAAGGGGTAGGAGTAGGGAGGTGGGGCAGGAGGGAGTGGGTGGGTGTGTGTGTATGGGGGGGGGTAGTCCGCAGCTGAGTTCACACAATCCCCCCATTCACCGTCTCCATGGCAACTCTGGGGCACAGACCGCTCATTCACACGGCTTCCCCGCCAGCAACCCCCCCTCATTAACCCCCTCAGTGCCACCCCACCCCACAAATTCCATTAACCCCTTCGAGATGCCTCCCTCTCCTGTAACCCTTCGGCGCCAAATGCCAAAATCCCCTTTGAGTTAATTCCCTGTAGCCCCTCCCCCGCAAACACCTAGACAAACCGACCGACCCCCAAACGCCCTCTGTACCCTAGGACCCACTGTGAGTCCCCAAGGCCAAGATTTCCATCCTGGTCCAACTTGCAATTTGGGAGAAGACAAGGGAAGGCAGCAATGCCGGGGATAAGAATGGCATCTGGGGACACTCTGGGGGCTGGAGCAGTATTGGGTGAGGGGCATTGTGCAGAAATGGACCGGTATTGAGAACTGCGGTATTGGGGGCGCCCCAGGTTTGGAATGGGATCGGGGGATGGAGTTGCGCTGGAATGGGGGAGGATAGGATAAAGGCCTCCATTGGGTGGGGGGGCTGCAGAGAGTGGGGGAGGGAGCCTGGCTATGAGATGCTATGATGGAAGGGGGATGGGGCTGCACTGCAGGGGAGGGGGGACTGGCAATGTGCAAGACAGGAATGGGGCTGGGGGCCCTCGAGAGGGGTATTTTGATGAGCATGCGGGCTGCGCTGTGGAAACAGAGGGACCATGGGCGGGAGGATGATAGGGATGCGGGATTTAGGGAGGAGGTGGAGGACAGAAGCTGCGGGGGGAGGGCGGGGGGGGGGGTCAGGGGTGCCGATCGAGAACATGGGGTTGAAAGGGATGGGGGGCCATTGGCTGGGGAGTGAAGGAGCCAGAAATTGGGAGGGGATAGGATGGGGGCAAGGTATGGACAGCTAGAGGATGAGAGACCGGGGCAGGCGGCCTCACCTGTTCCCCGGGCTGCTGCGAGCGATTGAACCCGGCCACGGACCACCCATATCGCCTCCAGGCCAAGGGCTCCGCACCCGAATCCCCGAGATCAGCTCTCCGGCAGCCTGGCTGCTGTGCCCGCGCACCAAGGGGGCGCGCTGCGCGTGCCCGGACACGGGGGGGCGCGGTCCCTGCCATTAACTCCTTTTGTGCCAGAGATGGCTCAAGTCCTGGGGCATGGCCCAATTCCCCCATGCTTAAACCCGCTCTGCTCATGCTCTCTCCTTCTCCTTGTCTTACATTCACACCTCACACCGCCAAGTTACCAGACAGGTGATCTTCCAGGACATCTAGTCCAAACTTTACCTGCAAAGCTTGGTATCTTGGAATGAAGGGAGAAACTGAGGCACTGAGGGCAGGAGCCCTCATTCATGCTCCATAAAGACAAGCCTCCACCTCCCTCTGTGTCCTTCACCTCTCCTCCAGCTGCAAACCAGTGGGGCCACTCCGCCCATATCCCATCACTCTCTCAAAGGTCAATGCCATTCAGCGGGGACCTGTCAGACTCAACACTGGCAGCCTGCCAGCTGTCTCAGCATCTGCCTCTCCCCTCCAGATCCAGGGTCACCGTGTCTTCATTTCTGTGTAGAGCCCACCTGTCCAGTTTGTCCAGCACCCCCAAGCCCCTCTGGATGTCCTTTATCCCAGCCAACACTCTCTTCCTGTGGCTTCTCAGAACATTTGTCACAACAGGGTAAGCCAGCTTCAGTCACGTTGCCCTATACCCTTGTCAGAGTGCCATTCCTTGAACATGCCACTCTTAAATGTGGTAAATCCCACTGAGGTAGGTAGGGCACTGTGGATCTCAAAGGGGATTTCATGTTTTATAACTTGGCTACTGACGGGTATTCCTTTTTGGTTTTGTTTTGACCAACACGCTTGAGACTTCCCAGGATTAGGTATAGCTTGGCTGTTATTCTTGAGTTGTCAAACCACCCCATACCACCCCCACAAGATTGGGCTAGTTTTTTTTTCTCTCTCTCTGTCCCTTGGAGTAAACCAGTTCTCTCCAGGATAGCTTCGGATCTTGCCTTCAGCTTGGGGCCCAAGAACAACACTGCCAGAGCTCCCAGTGTGACTCTGGGGCAAGTTCTGTATTTCCTCTACTGCAAAATGGGAGTGAGCAGCAGTGATCTTGGGTAACTGCTGGGGGGGGGGGGGGTCATGGGAAAACAAGCAGTTCCAGCAACAGGACAGCGAGAAAAGGAAGCTGCTTTCTAGAGCCACACCAGGCTTCTGCTGCCCATTTTATGACATGTGCTGGTGGAGGGCATTTTTTTTTTCATCCCAGCAACGTGACTTTCAGGGACTCCTTTGATCCTATGAAAAGGATGCCACTTGGTGCATGATGGGGAGTACACAAAATGGGGAACAGGGTAGGCAGTGGCTGTCAACTCCATCCCACCCCCGGCTTGTTCGAGGCCCAGCATCTGTGGTGTTGTGGAAGGAGAATCAGGTTTCATTGATGTTTTTTCCCCCTGTGCCCAACCCTAGTGGCGTATTTTCCCATGGAGGAAAGCTGCGAGGAAGCTGCAACATTGTGCTGAGAAGGTAAAGCTGCCCTTTGTCTCTTCCAAAGGGTCCCATACCTTGATAGGTTGCCAGTGTGGAGAAGGGAAGAGAGAGGGTGGCCATCTAATCAAATTTAAGAACTTCAGGGGTGGCAGGTGAACGGGGGGAGAAGATGTGAACAGAACCAGGGCTCTGACTTGCGGGTCTGGCCTCCAGCCCCCTCCCCACGGAGCACCCTTCCCAGCCATGTAGAACTCACACACTCCCTTTGCAAAGAAGCTCTGTGTATTGGGTGCAACAGCTCTGGGGTGTCTATATAAATAATATACAAAACCCAACAGCTCAATGCCTCACATTAACAAAAATACTAAAAACTCATTAAAAATGGAGCCTGAGGGAAGGGCCCCAACCACTACTGGTGCTAGCCCGGGAAGGGGACTGGGGATGAAGAGGAAAGGGTGGGGCCACATCCAGTGCACAAGCAGTTCCTCCAGGTGGCTCAGTAGCGTCCAAATATGTTGGTGCTGGGCTGTGGCTGGGTATCTGTGAAAAACCAGAGACTATCAGGGGTGGGAGACCAAGCAGCGGTGGGGGTGTGCGTGAGCAAAGCTATTTAGGTTCTAGAGGGAGGGGGAGGAGGGGGAGAGAGGGGAAAGGGCTGGTGGGGGGAAGCAGAGGGAGGGAAGGGATGGCTTCTTCCCTCCCCCACCGCCATCACCTTAGGCCTAAGCGATCACCTCGGCTATTGTGCCCCCTCCCCAGCCTACCCCTGCTCCACGGGGCTCCCCTTGGGAGGGAAGGTGGGCTTACTGGAGAGCTGTTGTTGGAGTTGCCGGACCAAAGCTGCCGTCTGCTGCTGCTGCTGTGTCTGCTGAAGCCCCTGGCGCTGGAACTGGGATGGGAACGGGAGGAGGAAGATGGAAGTCTAAACCGACCACCTCCCTCTTCCCTCTCCCAACCCTTTCTGAGAGGACCACGCCTTGCCTCCCACCTCTACCCCATTCCATCCTGTCCCCAAGCTGCTTCCCTGGCTCTGTGCCCGACCTGGGCAGCTGTCTCTGAGCTGCGGCCGGGGTGGGGGTGGGGGGCTAGCAGCTACCTGGGGCTGAGACTGGGGCTGGGGCTGGGGAGGAGCTGCCTGTTGTTGTGGCTGCTGCTGGTGTTGTTGTGGCGGCGGCGGCTGCTGCTGCTGCTGCTGTGGCGGCTGCGGCTGCTGCTGCTGTTGTTGCTGCTGCTGCTGCTGCTGCTGCTGGAAGAGACGAGACATCTCTGAAGGAGAACAAGGCAGCTGCAGGGGTGGGGACAGGGAGCCAGGGCCGAGAAACGGGGAGGGAACTCGGGGGTCCACGGTGTGCCCTTCTCGCACAGCTGCGCTGCAAGCTCTCAAATCAAGAGGCTCCAGCAAACAACGGCTGACTCCCTCCCACCAGGAGGGATTCCCCAGAAAAGGGGCGGGAAGGAACTTAGCAAGCAGCACCTTACGGCCAACCACTCGGCTGCCATTGGAGCTTTAGTGCACTGCCTCCTGCGGTCTTGGTGCCGAGGTGGCCACCACTTCTGCCTGGCTTCCTCCTCCCTGGGTGCGCAGGTCCCGGATGCAATCCCCAGGGCCTTACCCGCAGGATCTGCTGCTGCTGCTGCTGCCGGATGTGATACTGCTGCTGCTGCTGCTGCTGTTGCTGCTGCTGCTGCTGCTGCTGTTGTTGTTGCTGCTGCTGCTGTTGCTGCTGCTGTTGCTGCTGCTGCTGCTCGGGCAGGATGGAAGTGGAGCGGACGCCTGCCTGCACGCCCTGGGTACTCAGTGGATTCATGGTGCCTAACATGGTTGTCTGCTGCAGGGTCGGATGTGGAAACCTCCAGAGACAAGAGGTCCAGCGGTCAAGGCGTGGGACTGGGTGCGGAGTAGGGTGGGGGTCGGGGAGTCAGCCTGTTAGCCTACTGCTTAAGGTTGTCTGCCGCCCATATCTAAGTGCCTATGTTTGTTGCCCAGCTCTGGCTCCTGACTCCAGCTTCCTGCTAATGCAGACCCTGGGAGGTAGTGGTGATGGCTCAAGGGACTGGGTTCCTGCCATCTTTGTGAGAGACCTGGGCTGAGTTGCCAGCTCCTGGCTTCGGCCTAGCCTGGCCCAGCCCCAGGCATTGTGGGCATTTGGGGAGGAAATCAGTGCATGGAGGCTCTGCCTGTCCATCTCTCTGCCTCTCAAATAAATGCATAAATAAATAAACAGCTAATTGAACCCTGTGTCCTTGACCTGAAAGAAACTTCTACAAGTCATTTCATTCATCTCTTTTTGGAGTCTGACAGCCTTTTAGGTTGGGAATAAGGCACAAGACAATACTCCATTTTAGTGTCTCATAGTCAAAATGGTTAGGAACTCTCCAACCGGAGCACGTGATACAGATTCCATAAACACTGAGGTTTGTTGTTGTTGTCATTGTTCCCCAATACTGTGCCAAGGTGTTCTATCCCTTCGCCCAAATCGGTATGTCACTAAGACAGTCTGCTGGCTGGGCTCCCTGCCCCAAGTCTTCTCCCACCTTGCCCTGTGCGTTCTCTCCGCCTGTTCTACACATCCGGCTCCTCACATTCTCCTGACCCAAAGAGCTCTCTCTGCCATTGGTTCTCAATTCTGCAGCTGGGTACTCAAGGCCCCCATAGCAGCCCACCGGCTCTGAGCCATGTCCACATTTTCCAAACTCCATCCAAGCTCCTTGCTTCCGTTCCCCCAGACCCTCTGTTCCTCCTGGCCCCCGGATCTCCCTTCGTGTTCTGTCCCCTCCCTGGAGTGCCCTTCTCCCTTTCTCCCTTTCACAGCTCTCCTTCAAGGGCCGGCTCCAGTCTGACCCCCTTCCCAAGACTCCCTGATGACTCAGGCCCACACTGATGTTATCGCGCGCTTTTTTCTTCTGAATTCCTATTTTACTTCACAGCGCACAGCTGCACACCTGATTGCATCTTTGTTCTGAACGTTCTCGAAATATTCTGTGTAAGTCTCATCTCCCCAACTGTAGTAAAAATTCTTTGTGGCCAGAGACTGTATCTTTTTCTTTGTTTTGTTTCGCTATCTTTCTTCACCCCACCCAGTCCTAGGAGAGTGCTGGTACCTGGTGGGCAGTTTAGTCAGCACCCCCCAGGGTTCTGAAGCTTCAGCCGCATAGCCTCAAGGCACAGGTGCGAGGTCTTAACTAATCCTTGACCCGCATGGCCGGGAAGGTTCTTTCATTAGTTCATCAACACTAGCTTCGTAACTCCTTATCATGCAGAGTGTATCTGCAAACCCCTGGAGTTGGGTACATGACCTCCCCTCTCCAGGACTCAGAAAAATGTTCAGGATATACATGGGAGATTACTGGTTTCAGGCAGTTCTTCAAGCTCCAACTTTTGGCGGTTATGGGCTACGTGGCCAGACAAGTGTCCTCAAGGTGTCCAAAAGTCCTGACCACTCCTATCACCTCCAGCTGTGGGTGGTCCCAAGGCGCATGCTCCCTCATACCTCAGGGTCTCCTGCCTTGCCCACCACTACTTCAGGTACCTTTGAGCAGAGGCCAGTCCGTGTCCATAGGTTGGGGCCTGCTGGTGCACATAGCCACTGGAGCGC